GAGTGATGTAGCCACAAAGCGGTGATCGGAGCACGTAACGTACCCTATACTCGAGAACCTCAAAATTATTATTTATCAAGATTTGGCCGATCATCCGACGGGATGACAAGCAAATCGTTTGGGAAGTGAAATCCTTTTTGAGCCGACGGACGTCAGGTCATAGTGATCCTGTGCCGGTGCAGAATTTCCCAGATTGTGTTTCACTTTTTCATTCACTTTTCGCTTTCATCACTTTTCATTTGGAAAAACGGTATTCAATCACAACGAGAAACACACTACCGCGGTCGAGACTTTTCAGCCACCATGTAAAGTAATGCAGATTCTGGAATGCTTCTCCTGGAGACAACGCGGTGATCGAAGCGGGTCGCGGGATGTATACTCGAGAACACGAGAATCATTGTTTGTCAAGATTTGCGTGAACATCGGACGGGATGATATGAATCGTTTCGCAAGTGAAATCCACTTAAAGCATGTGGTCGACTGGTCGTAGTAACCGTGTGCCGTGGTGAAATTTCCTAGATTGCCATTCGCAGTCTTTTCAAATGGATTGCAACAATTTTATACAATCATAAGGAAAAACTCCCTTCCGCGGTCAAGACTTTTCAGCCACATTGTAAAGTGATGCAGACTCTAGACAACTCCTCGAGGATACAACCACATTCTCAAGTACATCAGAATTATTGTTTGACAAGATTTGATTGATCATCCGACGGGATGACATGCAAATCGTTCGGGAAGTGAAATCCATTTTGAGCCGACGGACGCCAGGACGTGATGATCCTATGCAGCTGCAGAATTTCCGAGATTGTTGTTAGCGCTGTTTCTAACTGAATTGGAAACACGTTATTCAATCACAACGAGAAACACACTACCGCGGTCGAGACTTTTCAGCCATCATGTTAAGTAATGCAGATTCTGGAATGCTTCTCCTGGAGACAACGCGGTGATCGAAGCGGGTCGCGGGATGCAAACTCGAGAACACGAGAATCATTGTTCGTCAAGATTTGCGTGAACATCGGACGCGGTGATATGTAAATCGTTTCGCAAGTGAAATCCACTTAAAGCATGTGGTCGACTGGTCGTAGTAACCGCGTGCCGTGGTGAAATTTCCTAGATTGCGTTCGGATTGCTTTCAACTGGATTGCAACAACGTTAGTCAATCATAACGAAAACCACCCTTCGGCGGTCAAGACTTTTCAGCCACATTCTAGAGTGATGTAGACTCTAAACAACTCCTCGAGGACACAAATCGGTGATCGAAACACGTCGCGTGACGTATGCTCAAGTACATCAGAATTATTGTTTGCCAAGATTTGAATGATCATCCGACGGGATGACATGCAAATCGTTTGGGAAGTGAAATCCATTTGGAGCCGACGGACGACTGGACGTAATGATCCTGTGCAGTTGCAGAATTTCTCAGATTGTGTTTCGCACTGTTTCTAACTGAATCGGAAGAACGTTGTTCAATCACAACGAAAAAGATACTAGCGAGGACGAGACATTTCAGCCACTATGTAAAGTAATGCAGAATCTGGAATGCTTTTCCGGGAGACAACGCGGCGATCGAAGCGGGTGCTGGATGTATACTCGAGAACACGAGAATCATTGTTCGTCAAGATTAGCGTGAACATCGGACGGGATGATATTAAAATTGTTTTGCAAGTAAAATCCACTTAAAGCATGTGGTCGAATGGTCGTAGTAACCGTGTGCCGTGGTGAAATTTCCTAGATTGCCTTCCGCAGTCTTTTCAAATGGATTGCAACAATTGTATTCAATCATAACGAAAAACCCCCTTCGGCGGTCAAGACTTTTTAGCCACATTGTAGAGTAATGTAGACTCTAGACAACTCCTCGAGGACCCAAAGCGGTGATCGAAACACGTCGCGTGACGTAAGCTCAAGTACATCAGAATTATTGTTCGTCAAGATTTGACTGATCATCCGCCGGGATGATATGTAAAGTGTTTGGGAAGTGAAATGCATTTTGAGCCGACGGAGG